CTCACCCAGCGGCCCCCCCCCCCCCCCCCCCCGTCTCCCGATAAATATCAGGCCAATAATCTTACTGAATGAGCTGAGTTGTATCTGTCGTCCTAATGTGCTTCTCAGACGTGCAGACAGTGTCACGCAGGTGGAAGCCGGGGCTACTTCCCCCCTTCCTGGAACTGGGTAACGTCTCTGGGTGACCGCCACCTGCTCCCAAGCTGCACAGAGCTTAGAGCAGCAAGGGCAGGGGAAGCCCCGTAACCATTTGAGACCACAGAGGGAAGTCAGGGAAATAACTGAAATGGCATTTAGCCAGGCGAGGAAGAATAACACCAAACTTTTCAACTGCACTTCCCATCAGACCTCTTCACCAGAGAGGTCAGACTCATTAGCTATTTCACAACTGGGGAAACTGAGGCACCAAGCAGGGCAGTGACTTGCCTATAAAGCCCGGTATCCTGAGTCCCAATCCAGTGCTCTAACTGCTAGGTAAGACTGCCTCACAGGCAGTTACATCTATGGGCCATAGGATTTTTAAAGCCCATACGTGCTCAGGGCCTTGTTTGTGCCAGAAAGGAGGAACATCGAGAGCAGCAGCGAGTCTTTCACATTATAAACACAATAGCTGAGAAGGTCTCTAAAGTGCCAGCTAGCCGTGGAAGCGCAGCGGCGGCGTGGGAGTTCCTTGGACCGCGCAAGAGCCCCTGGCGTGGGCAATGCTCCAGGACGTGCGCCAGGTCTCCAGCAGCCCCTCACTTCATTTCCAAGTAATTCACGTAATCCTTGACCCATTTGGTGTCCGGGTTGGCGCAGACTTGTTGGTTCTTTCTGGTGACAAATCTGTGCAGAACGAGAGAGACGGGGGGTGAGAACACTCCTGGGGGTGGAATTTGCTGTGGAGTAAGCCGGGCCCGGGGAGTTGGATGCCCCCTTTGTCCATGGCCATGGCTCCCTGTTCAGGACTCCTCAAGGGCTTCAGCCCAGACCCCAAGCCCATGAATCCCAGGCCTCATGGTACCTGACTGCCCCGTGGCCTATTAAACCACGCCAGGGCTGGGAGCCCCCTAAAGGTCTATTCAGAAAAACACCCCAACGCCAGCTGCTCACAGATCCAGTCCCCCTGGGGGGGAGACTGGAAATTGTGGCCTGTCTCAGGTCAGCCTGGTTCTCTGCTTATTGCACCCCTGGGAGAAGAGCCTGCAGCCTGACCCAGCAGCGTTTGGCTGCAGGGGGGGGGTCACACCCTGCTCTCCCCCTTGGGCTCTGGCTGAACCGGGGAAATGCTGTGTCAGGGCAGCGGATCTGATCCCCGGGTTCAGTGCAAATCCAAGCACCTGGCATGACAGCTACATGCAGAGCAGTAAGCGGTGGGGGCCAACCCTCTGGCCAGGCGCGTTTACACAGGAAGTGAGTCCCGTGTGGACGCTAATTCCAGTTCAGTTTAAGGCCACGTCTAGACTCACAGGGTGTGTCTAGACTACAGGGTTTTGTCGACAAAAGTGGACTTTTATCGACAAAACTAGACCTGTGTCTACACTACCGCTGCGTTCTGTCGATAGTAAGTCGAAAGAAGGTGGCAGTTTTGTCGACGGCGGTAAACCTCATTCTACGAGGAATAACACCTTGTGTCGACAGAGTTCTGTGGACAGAGGGCGTTATTGCATCCACATGCTGCTTTTTCGAAAGAGAGCATCTCGACTCTCTCGAAAAAGTGGTTTGCTTTGTCGACAGAACTGGCTGTCGTCTAGACGCTCTTTGTCCACAGAGGCTTTGTCAACAGTATCTGTCGACGAAGCCTGTAGTGTAGACGACCCCCAGTGCTGGGGGGAATGCAGAGAGCTCTCCTGTCGGCACAATGAAACCACCTCCGCCCGCAGCAGAAGCTCCGTGGGCAGGAGCAGCCCTCGCACCACACGTGCTTATGTCAGTGTAAGTTGACTCACTCGGGGGCGGACTATTCATAGACTCATAGAACCCCCGGGCTGCAGAGACCTCAGGAGGCATCAAGTCCAGCCCCTGCCCAAGGCAGGACCAACCCAACGCAAACTATTCACACCCCTGAGCCTCATACATTTTGCCAACCCAGACTGTGGTTTGCCAACACAGCCTCACTCCACGTCAAAGCAACATAAGGGCCCCCAGAAACTGCCGCCATTGAACACACTCACCTTTGTCTGCACTAGGTGTGAAATGGCGCTTACAGCACAGTTAACACCCTCGCTAGCTTCCCCAGGGCTTGTCTACAGGGGAGGTTTCACCTGGAGAGTTCTCCCTCCCCAAGGGGATACCCTATCCCCCTCAGAGCCGCCTTTTCCCAGCTTCCCTCACGCCCCTCCCCAGGCCACATCGCCTCCCTGGGAAAAGCCTCTTGCCCCGGAATCAGAGCGGCCCCGCAGGGAGCTAGAGGGTGGTCCCAGGGGTAAAGGGCACTGGCAGGCCGGCGAGGCCCCGGTACTTACACCACAGCGGGCTGGGAGCACTTGCCGCTGGTGTAGAAATAGTCCTTCAGGTGGCCCTGGGGGGGCTTCCGGGAGGCGTAGCCGAAGCAGCACACGGACGTGTCGGACCCCACTGAAAGAGATTGACCGTCTGGAGGTGAGGGGCGCAGAACAGGCGTCCCCGCACAACCGGGGTGGCTTGTCCCTCCCGCAACAGCGGGGCGGCCCCGTTTCCACACGACACACCGAGCCAGGCTCTCAGGAAGGGGAGCCCAGCCAGAGCCGTTAGCCTCCCCTGAGCTCCAGCACCTACTCCACACGAGACAGATTCGACGCCCACCCCATCCCCCTCCCAGCCCCCATCTCCAGGTCCTCCAGTAAACCTGGCAAGAGCCAACTGATAATCCCAACAGCCCTGTGAGGAGACACTGAACCCAGCCCACCTGGGGCTCCCCTCCATCCCAGAGGCAGCGAAAAGGCCACCACGCCCAGCGGCATTCAGGCTTGACAGGGGCGCTCGACCTGGGCAGAGAGGCGGGGCTCACGTGGGGCGGCGGAGGCCTGGGAGCAGAAGGCCGCGACGAGGAGGATGGTGAGGGCAGCCACGGAGACCTTCATGCTGCTTTGGGGTGAGCCGCAGGAGCAGAACCAGGGCAAGGAGTCCTGCTAGACGATGATACTGGCCTGCCGGGCAAGGCCCTGGTTTTATAGGGGAGCAGCAAGGGGCCCAGCCTGCCCCATGACGTCAGCTCCCCGGCCACGATGCGCTGTGGGGAGCAGGGGCGTGAAAGCTGCTGCACCTCACCTCAGGAAATACAAGAATAGTCTTTGCAACCGGCTGAGGTCAGTTTCAACAGGGGGGAAGGGAGGGAGGGGACACGGGCGGGGAGGGCTCCCCAAGGCAGGATATGAAGCAATCACTGCCTGTGTCACTGCAGGCCCAGCATCGAGCGCACCCTCGGGCAGAAGGGCTGCTCCTCCAGAGCACCATGTCCACCCTGGGGCCGCCCAATGGCCCATCTCGCCCAGGGCCGGCCGGTGTCCATGCCCCAGAGGGAGGGAACAGAACAAGGAATCACCAAGTGACCCAGCCCCTGTCCCCCGTTCCCAGCCTCCGACAGGCTCCCTGCCCATCCCCGCGCCTTTCCAGCGCCCTCTCGCCGGTTGGGGAGGGGGGAACCCAAAGCACCACGCTCCTTTACAGGCAAATAGACAGAGCCCTAGAGAACGGGAGGGGATAGAGGACTGGCCTGATCAGGCGTCTGTGACAGCCTCCCCCCTTTCTCTAGGCAAGAACTGTGGGCCGCCTGCAGTTCTAAGGCTACATCTACATTGCATCCCTCTTGCGTAAAAACCTATGCAAATGAAGTGCGGATTAACATACTTCCATGCTTCATTTGCATGATTAATTAGGGGCCATTTTTGCACATAAGCCTATTGTGTAAAAAGGCCCCCTAATTAATTATGCAAATGAAGCACAGCAATATGCTAATCTGCGCTTCATTTGCATAGGCTTTTGCGCAAGAGGATTGCAATGTAGACGGAGCCGAAATGGACAAGCCGGTCATGGCGACCTACCCTGGAACCAGGGGCAGCCTGTCAATACAGGCGAACGAGGCGGTCGCCTAGGGCGCCAAGATAAACAGCCGTTGAGGGCTTTGGAGGCGGGGGCTCCAATCGCTTGTTCCGCCTAGGGTGCCAATTGCCGGCAGCTCGTCTGGGGCCACGCCTGCCTGGAACACTCCCTCCACCTTCCTTGCCACGCCACCAAGGGCGTCTCGCCCTCCCCCAGGTCTCTGTACTGCCAGCCTCTAATTCCGCTCCTGTCTCGGGGTTGCTGGCCTGGGCGAAGCGGCGTTCAAAGCATTTCCTCCCCTACTTCTTCGGACACCTTGACCCTGGGGTCGTGTATCTGCATGGGGGGCACGCCCTGAACACCGCCCCCACCTCATCTCCCTAGTAGGTCGCCCCGAGACAGGCCCCATCTGTGCTGGGCGTCACCCGGGCCTGACTGGAAACTTGGGCCCGTCCGTGTACAGCCCAGACCTTGAATCTGGTGTGGAAGCTGCAGCCACAGTCTAGTCACAGTCCCCAAGACTTTCCGGGCTGATTAGTGACGGGAGGGGGCCTCAGTTGGGGGGCTCAGCGCGCCTCTCTTCAAAGGCAGCCGGGGTTTCAAAGGGCGGGAGCTGAAAAAAGCCCCCGTAAGGTGTCTGAGGCGGGGAACCCGCGTGTCGACACAGCCAGCAGAGTCACAGAAAATTCACAGGGGGCCAAACCGCAGGGTGGAAAAAAACTCCAAAAATTGGCTGTCTAAAGAGAAGTCTTGAGTAAGTGCTAGGAAGCCACAAGGTGCACAGAGAGACAGCGCAGTCTAGTGGGCTGAACGCAGGGTGCTGGGGACCTGGTCCTGCTCTGTCACTGGCTTGCTGGGGCATGTCCGTGCCTCAGTTTCCTCCTTCTCTGCTTGGCTGTTCCAAGGGCCAGGAAGGGCGGGAGCGTGTCTCTCAGGGAGGCTGCTGGGGTAAGGCACAGTGACGACCCTCCTGTGGAAGGAACGCTTCACTCCTCCCGCGTCACGCCAGCGCTGTGGGCGCAGCCGTGAGCAGGGGGAAGTGCTGAACCTTCCGCCTGCGGTTCCCCACTGCTAGTCAGATGCTGAAAATAGGAGAGCTGGAGGGGAGCAGAGGCCGGGGTGGGAGGGCGTGAACCCACGGAGCTGCCAGGCCCTGCCCCAGCAAGCGAGGAACCTCCAGGCGGAGGTGAACGGACTGAGAAAGGGATGGAAAAGAGGAGCCATGACGGTGGTTTGGCCTGGCCCCAAAAACTTCCTTCGGAGGAAGGTGATCTGCCTGCCGGGGCGAGGGGCTGGTGTGCCCGGGCCAGGCCGTGCACCTAGCATAAGGGGAGCATAAGCCGGCTCCTGCTGGCCTGGGACCGTCCCAGCCACAAGCTCCCCCAGGACACCAGCTACGGGTCTGGGGGGACCGAAGCCCCTGAAATTTGTAGCGGGCCGCTGCTTGCTCTTCCCCTCCCCTACACCTTCAGCCCCCTGCCCCCAAGGCCCTGCCTGGGGAGGGGAGGGGCGGGGCCGAGGAGTGAGTGACCCTCTCAGACAGTGATGAAAGGGAAGAGCAAACAGCATCTTGGGGGGGGGGGCTTCAGCCCCTTGCCCTCCCTAAATAGTGCCCTTGCCCCCCATATTCCTCCCTATCCACACATACCTCAACTCCCTGCCCCGAGTCCCTCTTCACACCCAAAGCCTGATTCCTCCCACATTCTAACCCTCTGCCCTGAGCACCTTCTCACACCCCAGTCTTGATTCCTGCATCCCCCATGCATACCTCAACCCTCTGTCCCGAGCCCCTCATCACACACCCCCAACCATCACTCCATCCCCTCACACCCAGTCCCTTGCCCTGAATCCCCACACCTCCAGGTTTGTGCCTCAAGTCCCCCTACACCCACCACAGCCTCCTGTCCTGAGTCCTCCTCGCTTCACCCCACACTTAAATTTCTTACTGGTACTATCCTATGTAACCCCCATGCTCTGAGCCCTCCCTCCCCCGATACAATAATACCTGTAAGAAATTTAAATTACTTTCACCTCTGCTAAATCCAGTGCAACCGGGGCGGTGATAGGACAGCACCTGTAAGAAAAGGAAGTTACTTCCCCCTCTGGTGCCGAGAGACCCCAGCCCCCCACTAAGAGTACGTCTACACCAGCCCCCTGGTTCGAACTAGGGAGGCTAATGGAGGCATTGGAAGTTGCAAATCAAGCCTGGGATTGACATGTTTGAAATGTACCAGTCCGGACTAACGGCCCGCGTCTACATGCGGCAGGGACCCGGTAGTTCGAACTGAAGCCCTAGTTCGAAGTAGTTAAACCTCATTCCAGGAGGAATAACGGGTAGTTCGAACTCGGGGGCTAGTGTAGACGTACCCTAACGGTCCACAAAGAGCTTGAACAGACCCAGCCATCCTGCCCCCCAGCCCCTGGCCTCTTCCCCAGCCTGCTGTCCCTTTCCTGGGCCTGGGCTGGGTGCTCTGCTGGGGGACCCCCTCTCCTGCTCTGCTGGGGGAGCCAGTGCCAAACCCTGCACCTCACCAGCTGCTTGGCTCCCTTCCCCCGCCTGGGGTTTGCCCCTCACCATTTCCCGCCTCTCTTCTCACGCTGGGGGGCTCCCAGCCCCTCCCTCACCGCCTTGCCTGGAAAGCATTTCTGCCTCGCCCTCTTCCCTATGGCTCCCTCCTTGCTCCCAGCTTTGGCCTGGCTCCCCCCTGGCTGCAGAGGGGAGTGCGCTGAGCAAGGGGAACTCGGGGAGCTGCGAGGGAAAGGCCCAGAGCAGATGCTGGCTCCTCCCCGCCACACAAGCATGACCCTGGCATGAGGAGGAACTTCCCAGAAATTGAAAGTCAGTGGCTGAGTGTCTAGCTCAGGGCTGGCTGGGCGCCAGCGCCCGGCCAAGGGGGAAGCGCTGTGGGCCAGGAGCTAGTGAGGAGCAGAAGGTAAGGGGCTGACGGGGGGCTCTGCCCTGGAACGCAGACCAGACTCCACGGAACGCAGCAGGCACAGAGAGTTACACCCCACGGCAGCTCCGGGGACGTTACTCCTGATTTACACCAGCGCTAGCCGGGAAGAGTGTGAACCAAAACCAGCCCCTCCAGCACGCCCCTGGGAGCCCTGGAGGGGAGAGGGGAGAGGGGAGACAGAGCCAGCTGGAACTGGCTCCAAGTCCTGGGCCATCACACTCTCCAAAGCCACCAGCTGGAGGAACCGGAGTGGAGATCAGTGCTGCACGGGTCCGGGCCGACAGCGGGAAGGGGTCAGCTGTGGGTGTGGGGGGAAGACACAGGCAGCATGTCCGCTCTCCTCTGCACAGGTCTGGGCCGACAGCGGGAAGGGATCAGCCGTGGCGTGGGGGTGGGGGGAAGACACAGGCGGCATGTCCGCTCTCCTCTGCACAGGTCTGGGCCGACAGCGGGAAGGGATCAGCCGTGGCGTGGGTGTGGGGGGAAGACACAGGCGGCATGTCCGCTCTCCTCTGCACGGGTCTGGGCCGACAGCGGGAAGGTATCAGCCGTGGCGTGGGTGTGGGGGGAAGACACAGGCGGCATGTCCGCTCTCCTCTGCACGGGTCTGGGCCGACAGCGGGAAGGGATCAGCCGTGGCGTGGGGGTGGGGGGAAGACACAGGCGGCATGTCCGCTCTCCTCTGCACGGGTCTGGCCTCTGCTGCAGCCTGGGTCCATTTCCGGTGCAGGCTGAACCTCTCCAGTCCAGCATCCTTCTGCTCCCAGGCCCCTAGAAGAAGGGGAGAGTCCCAGGGATCCAGCAGCGACGGCAAAGGGTCTGAAGAGGTCCCAGCTCTGGTTCTGGGGCTACCGCTCATCCCCCCCGAGAGGAACATGGAGGTCTCCGTGGCTGCCCTCGTCCTGCTCATCGCAGCCTGCTGCTCCCAGGCCTCCGCCGCCCCCAGTGAGTCCCGGGGCTGCCTAGGTCTCAGAGCCCCTTTGGATGTGTAGGGAGTGCTGTCACACTACGGGCCAAACCTCCCTAGTCCGGCACCCTCGGGACCCGACCGGTGCCGAACCAGAGAGTTTGCCGGACCACGGGCAGTCAGTGTTGTCTAGCAGCATCAGCAGCACTTCCCCTGCTTGTGGGCTCTTGGCAATCACTGAGGGGTGTAGAGCTAAAGAACAGCCCAGCACCCTGAGAGCCAGGACTGGGGGCTGCAAACAAACTTTATGGGACTGCAGGAAACTTGGCCATGCCCAAGAGGACACCCAGCG